CACACACACACACACACACACACACACACAGAGAGAGAGAGAGAGAGAGAGAGAGAGAGAGAGAGAGAGAGAGAGAGAGAGAGAGAGAGTGAGAGGCACACGATCTGACAGAAATTATGCTAGGCCAGGGGTGTATCCGACCGCAGTTACATCCAGAGCTGAGTCGCAAAGGTGGCTGGTATGTACGCACCTGCAGAAATTTGAAGCACCGTCTGCTGTACTCGCTTTCATGATTCCTATTGTAGTAAGTGAGCACGTGAGCGTGCTGCAGTGCATTCCGGGCAACGTCCATCTGCCTCGAGGCTTTTTCCAAAAACGGCCATCGTTGCGATCGCGATTGTCTAAGACAGGGATTGAGAGGCTGTTGCATCTGCCACCCCATGGATGACGCCATGTTATCCAAAAATTCTCGGACTGCTTGCCACGTGGCACCATCCCGATCGAGAGACTGAAATTTGCTGAACCAGTCCGCCAAACCCCAAAAAAAAAAGGAAAAAAAGAGAAAAAATCAGTCAAGACAGTGGCCAGAATTATATAGCAGCAAAAACGCTTGCACACATACTTGAAATACCCCCCAACCCTCCGCCCCCGACCCAAAAAAAAGGAAAACAGGAAAAAAGGATAACTAGTAGTAGCAAAAAAGCCCGCAAAGGTAATCAAAACACTGGAGACAAACAACAACAAACAATTCAGACATTGATTGTTGCTCATTAAATCATTAACTTTGTCACGACTGCCTCTCCCCAGGTGCTAGTGGTGTCTGCTCTTATCAGCACCACTAACACTGGCGGGGGCGTTTAAAAAAAAAAAAAAAAGCAAGTGTTATGTCAGGGAAGATGCGTATGATAGCGAGAGGAACGCCATGATCATGGTATCGAGAGGACAGAGGAGACGACGATGGTGTGAGGAGGAGATGACAACCTTGGCATTCTTGTTCTTCTTCCTCCTCCTCTTCTTCTTCTTGTTCTTGTTCTTCTTCTTCTTCCTCCTCCTCCTCCTCCTCCTTGTCGCCCTGCTCCGAGTCGTTTTCTTCTTTCATCGTACGTGTTTAGTGCGTGGAAGCATGGTGAAGACTAGCACAAGCTGACGTGCTGACGTGTGAAACGCTCATTTAAGCGGTCATAAGTGCAGAAGTGGCAGTGTTCACGAACCAGTCAGAGGTACAAGAGGCAGCGTGGATCTGGGAGAATACAGCCCTCTTGGTAGGTGTATGGAAGGTGGGTATTGAGAGAGACTACAGGTATACGACGAGAGCCATTAGGTAACCTACCAAGATGTCAGCTGATGCGAAGTAGTGTTGTTAGTGGCCAATGGCCAGGGATATGAGACGAGTGCCAGTAATAAGACAAGTGAGCAAGTGAAGAGACCTAGACTTATCATCCGATGTACGTAGTGTTCCCCACCTACTACAAGTGCGAAACGTTCCTCCTCCCGTTGCGTTGTCCGGTGCGGACCCCCTGGAAGGGAAGGGAGATCGACTGTGCGGCAGCGAGTTGGAGAGAAGGGTACTTGCAGCGAAGTGGGGGGAACACAATCGTGCGTTGTTTTCAGTTGACGTGGTTCCTGAATCAGTGGAGGGCTGCAAAGAGAAGTGGAAAGCGACAGTTAAACGGCGATAAGATTGAGAGAACGCAGCTGCGTGTTAGGTTATGTTGTCGTCGTCGTCGTCGTCGTTCTTCTTCTTCTTCTGCTTCTTCTTCTGCTTCTTCTTCTGCTTCTTCGTCGGCTTCTTCTCATCATCTGGTTCCTACCTTACTCTCATATATTATGTCTTGACCTACAGTCGTTCGACTTGTGGGTTGCCTTCTGCGAGCAAAGGAAGGCAGATAAGGAGGGAAGAAGACAGCAAGGTATAGGGAGTACATTACTATACGGAAGGGAACTAGCATCGAGGTGAGGTGTTAGGAGTAGGAGAGCTAGCACACAACTGATCGGTGTTATTTACAAAGTACTGTGGTCGATTTGTTGTTATTGGGGTGTTCATAGTATGAGGAATGCAATTGCGCGCTTATCGTGAGAGTGAGCGGAGGGGTTCTTTACCACAGTCACGTACGAAAGGACACGTGGCAAGGAGTAAGTTACTAAATGGTAGGAGGTTAAAGCTGTGCGGATGGTTATTGGTAGGAGATTCTGAAGTAACTTGCTGTATATATATATATATATTTTTTTTTTGGCTGTGACAGACCTTTCTTTGTTTCGTGGATGTTTTGCTGGCTTGTGATGGGGTGTGAACCGACAGTCTGTAGAGTTTTCCATCTGGTGTGGGTGAGTGATAGTCTACTTTTATT